CGCAAAGTGGCCATTGCGTTTCGTTCCGGAGATAAAAAACGGTGGAGCGAGAGGAACGGCCGGCAGAAGGGGGACGGGAGAAAATAAAGATCAGAGAAAACGAGCGAAACAGAAGGGGAAGAAGAGAGAGAGAGAGAGAGAGAGGAGAGGAGGGCACCGGTGACGGTCCACGAGAAGACAAATTCTGTAATCCTCTTTGGTCGGCGAGCTAAGCCCTCTGTGTGACGGCATACCATCTTCTTTCTCTTATTTCCTCCTCTCGTTTTGCTTTTCCTTGTCTCACCCCTGTCCTCCCACGCCGATCAAGGAAATTAGATTTCGAATCGACAGCCGTGCTTAAGTATAAACGACGAGGAGACATCGAACAACGTCGAACGAGGAGGAGGAAACAGGAATTCACGGGGAGGAGGGGGGGGGAAGGCAGGAACAGGAGAGGAGGTATCGTCTTTTTCGCTTCGGGAGAGTAGAATCGTTGCCCCGTTCCCGGCGAGATCAATTTTATTCTATTTGGTTGACAGGTAACCGACGATAAGTAATATTTAATTAACCGTCTCGGGAGGCGAGAAATGAGAAGAGGAGTTGTTTCCCTTCGATTCTTGGCCGATTCTTCCTTTCAGTCGAGTCAAAATTCGAGATCGAGACAGAGAACGTTATTCGACGAGAATTGGTTAATTCGACGATTCGAAATAATCGAACTCTTGGCGAGTAATATTTAATCGAAACATCTCTCGCGATCGTGGATAGTCTTGTCGCTTCGAAATTTTGACTCGATGGAAAGGTCGAGTGAAATCTCGCTTTCCCGGCGATCGAGTAGATAATTATTGATAATCGAGGCGGTTGCGAGAAGAAAAGGAAGAAAACGTCGCGTTGGTATTCCAAGTTCGTGGGAGAAACAAGATCGTATCGGATCGGTTGCAAAGCGGTTCTGGCCCATTCCAGCTACTTAAGAGATTGACAAGAGAAGATAGTATAATGGACGAGGCGGTCGGGGAATCGTAACCTCCTCCTGAATCGAGCACTAATGGGCCAACACTGATCGTTGATAAATTTCAAAATGCCACGGGCCACCTCTGGCCACGGGATCCATGGAGAAAGAGAGAGATCAATAAAATCACATTAATGTATTTGTTCGCACTGTTACGGATGCATATGCCAACGTTTAACGTCTTTTTAATATCAGCCTTCGAGTAGTTCTTGAACGTTCGAATTAAATTAATTAAGCAAAGTTTGAACAAAGTTTCGACCAGTGATTCCAAGACGAACAAATTTTCTTAAACAATTTAAACATGATCCATAATTTATGCTTTCAATTAAGAGGAAGTAATTGGAAATCACGTAGAAGAAAAGCGCGATGAAAATCGAAAGCAAACGAGATCGATTCGAAAAGTAAACCGAGTGATTGCGAAAAAAGTGAAACTTGCTCGAAATAACGGTATCGATTTTGATTTCGAAAATAGACAGGGAAAACTTTCGATCCGCGACGCGATGTCGCCCTTAATCCCCCGCTAAAATTCTAAAAGCCACTTGAAGCTGTGTACAACGGGTGTGCTCTCGATATAACGGCTCAACGGTGCGATATAACAGCACAGTCGAAGGAGGCGACACACTGCACCTGCAGAATTTAATCACGATGGTTACTCCGTCTGGCCGAAGCCAATTATTGCGCAGACGTAGCAACACGCACCAACAGCTTACACCGCCTAGTTACGCGGACCTTCTCTATACGCATCTGTATATAAATCTCTCCGTATCTCCACCCCTCCTCCCTGTATGGATATAATGTAACCCGCATTAATTTCCCTCCGAACGCATGCGATTCCCGTGTTTGCCGCCCCCCAAAATGCCCGACCGCCGGCTCTGTCACTCTGTTACCATGAACTAATAAACACACGTGATAATTCGTTAATTCATCGACTTTGCGATTTTCAAATTCAATTCAACCCGAATTGGAAATATCTCGGATTATTCGAACGCCATCTATCCAAGTGCAATTTTAATCAATGGTTGATCGAATTGGGAACCGTTATTATTATTATCACGGATAACGAGGATTTCTCGAGAAAATTACAAAAATCTAAATAAAATAAACTAGAAATTCGTATATCGCGCTAAGTAACTCTGAAACTTTGGCTTTAGTTTTAGCAACGTCATCATTTAACCCCTATCTCTCCGCTCTATCGTCGCTCTCCTCTGCACAACAGATCTCGCGTCCTGAAACAGAAGTCGGTCTCCTCCTCCTAGACCGATTAGGTGCCTGGAGGAAGAAGGGCGCGCTGCTCTGTCTGGTAGCATGGACGGAAGAAAGGGTGGGTGGGCGAAGGAGGTCCCGGGGGCGAAGGAGGACGATGGTGTTGGCACTCTCGGGGGCCATTATTGATTGTTGTTGATAATTAGCCGGTACAGGCGCGTCAATCACGAGGCAAGGCGAGGTTATTAGGCTGTTGGTTAGCACCGGCCCGATGGCGCACGTACACGCGCACACCGATCCACGCCATCGCGCGGGATACGCGTGTGTACGCTGCGCACAGGTATCCGTGTAGCCGTGTGCACTAACCCACCCGATTACCCCCCACAATTCGATCTAATGCGCTACGCTGCGATGCGAGAGAGGGTTAATTATGCAGTTAATGAGAGGCTGAATATATATAGCCGACGGGGTGTCGGGATGGCCGTGGCGAAAAGAGGATCATTTGGATGCCCATACCGTGGCTCGATTGTTGAATTTGGTTATGGTCGAAGAACGCCGGAAAACAGTCCTCCATTCCCTTCCCGTTTTAAATTAATCGCGTTAGAACGTTGGAGATTGTGTTTAAACGTGGCACAGCCCCGTGGAAACCCCGGGTGCTTTTTGATTGCACCGAAATTGATATGGCGTATACGCGTTTTGTGCACGCGCACAAAAGCGGATAGGTATAAATATGCATATGAAACGAGCATGGTGTACGAGGTGGTTGAACGTTTGCACGGTAGCGTAGATGGCGTGATAGATGTGATCGGACGAAAACGGTGGCCAAGGGAACACTCGTTCGAACGAGTTGGCGCGAAATCAATTTCTTCCTCAATAACCGCGTTCGTGTCGATGGTTGCCGTAATAAAGTGGATAATGGCGAGAGTCGGCGATAATTTGACGGAAAGAAGCGTCGTTATATACAATTAAATGCTATAGTTTTAAGCCAGCTACGTTGCAAACACCTCGCACTTTCAATCGAGAAGGGTTCGTCCTTTCGGATTTTCATCGACGATGAAAAACTATATTTCGTCGATATTTCGAAAACGTTGCAACGTTGATTTTTTCGCGTTCGGTTCTTCTTCTTCTTTTTTTTTTGATCGAAACGGGCAATTGTCAAAGAGATTCCAAAACGACGAAAATCTGGTTTTTTCCTTTTCACAGCTGGCCCCTCAATTTCCGCCGTGTTGCGTTGAACATCGCATCGAGCAAATTGCACCGAAGCGTTGATTTCTACGATAAATTGCCGGATTGTGCGTCACCGAATTTATCGACACGCGTATCCTCGCGTCTCGATGTCGAAACACCGTTTTCCATTGCTCGATATACTCGATAACGAGGCTCGTAATCGATTAATTACTCTTAAAATAAAAATTAATATTCCTAATCTATTAAAAATAACGTTTCTAAAATTAACGCGATAAGTGTTCAGTTGTATTATTAGTAACTCGTAATAAATTCTCTTTTTCTTTCCCTGGTTTCTGTTTTCACGTTGCAACGTGCTGTACAAACGGATACAAACTTTTCATTATTTAACGCATCCTGCTTGAAGATTGCGATCTATCTTGCAATCTTTATTCCTACATCCGGTAAACACGTGTATACGTTTACGTGGCGTGTAGATACAATATTTGCGGAAACAACGATCTTTCGTGCGAGGTGTGACGACGATTCTCGTGGAAATCTCGTCCGTTGAACCGTTGAACGAATATCGAAAGGAAGAATAATCGTGGTGGCGGCCCATCGTTTCGGTTTCCAGCGTTTCAACGATTCGATTAGCGGCACTTTTGAATAGCGGACAGATTCGAAATTGCTCGTTTAGTAAACTCATTACGGCCTCGTAAATATTGGAACGGATAATTAATCAATCGAGTAAGATTCGAGGAAATACAATTGCAATTTGAAATCGCTCGCTTTGGATCCGTTACAGATATTGTAATCGTCCGTTAATAATTACAAATTCGTATTAATAATCGATAATCGGCCATAGGAGTGCGGCAGTGAGATTAAATAATAATAACCGAGCGAAAAAGGGGGATTGGTAAAAGGGCCTGGAACGATTCGGCTCACGCGACTTTCCGCATGGTAATACGCTTCACGTGTATTTGTATAAAAACTTGACGTGTCATTAAATCGATAAAAAGTACGGTATAAACGAACCGATTATATACCGTAAGGTAAATGATTAAATCAACCTTCGAGTTGAAGTGATTTTTCAATAATAAAGTAATTTTATAGCAGGGATCGTTTAGCGACGGAGTTTCGAATTTTCTTAAAAAATTCATACCCTCCGTAAATTCACCTTTCATCCGATGAATCTCGTTGTTTCTACTCCTCCTTTCCTATTCGACGCGTTTCCACGCGAAGATTGTCAAACGAAGATTGACAATGATCAACGGGAAAAAGTAATTTCATATATGGAAATATAACATGTACACGTAGACAAATGTGTTGAACGAACTTTTAAAATTTTTCCACGGCTCTTATGATCCGTAACGTAAAAAAAAAGAAAAAATCCGCAATAGGTTGAAACGAGATGAAATTCCTAGGTGCATACGCGTAAATACACGCGTAAATGGGAATGTGGAAAGTGGACGTGAGATGCATCGATAGCCGGAGGAGTGATGAGCGTACTGCAACACTTGTAATAGGTAGCATTATACGCGCATAATAGAGGTAATAGCCGGGACTGGGATAAATCGATCACCATTACCGTACCTATTAACCGTAACGACCGTTTCCGAGGAGACCTGACCACTCCCGTGGGTTCCAGGTGAGAACAGCTGCAACTCCACCGGCGGTGGCAGCGACGAGGAACTCGGGGCAGGCTGCGGGGACGATTTGAACGGGAACAGCGGGAAGAAGAAGCATCGCCGAAACAGGACGACCTTCACCACCTACCAGCTGCACGAGCTCGAGAGAGCCTTCGAGAAGTCTCATTATCCGGACGTGTACTCCAGGGAGGAGCTCGCTATGAAAGTCAATCTTCCGGAAGTGCGCGTCCAGGTGAGTTAGAAAAAAAAAAAAAAAACGCGATCAAACTCGAATTTTCAATTCGGAAAATGGAGGATCGAGGTGTGCTGTTTCGAAAGATCGGTCAATTTTCCGATCGATCCGTGTATGTGTGAAATCACACGTTTGTCAAATCATATATTGAACCATGAATGAATATAATATGTATAATTTCGAGCAAACATGCGATGACGTAGTAAACTCGGTTTCGCGATCTGTCGACGGAGGATCCGTCGATTAGAAAGAATAATCGCGAGGAAATCGGCGTTGTTAATCGGCCGTGCACCGAGAGAGATCGTTTTCTCGCGAGATAAAACGAATATATTCATACATTTTTAAATAATCACCTGAGCACGAAGTCACGCGACTAACGAGGTATTAACTCGTTAACCCTCACGACACCGGCGCGCGATCCTGTTACCTGTAACGATCTTGCGAAAAAAGGGAGGAGGGGGTGAATAATAAACGAAACGTATGGAAAGGTGGCATAACGTTCAAACGATGTTTATTGAAACAACCAGCGTCTCTCTTCCGAAAGCGAAAATCAAAGTCGAAAGGAAAAAAGAGGGAAGGGGAGGAAAAAAACAACGGTTTGATCCAATGTTTTTCTTTCGACGAAAATGCGTCGCTTCGGAAAAAATTGGAAACGAAAAGCAACTTTACAAAAAAAAAAACAAGAACGAGAGTTTCGTGGAAAAAATTAAAAAGAAATTAAACAGAAGATAAGATAAGGGATTAAGATCCGAGAAAATTAGCGTTCTCGACTCGTTCAAAGGGGGTTAACTTGTATATCGCGGGAACGAACGATCGAGAATTTACCGATTTATTATTCCCCTCCCTTTCGCACGGTCTTTCTCTGTCCCATTGGAACGAAGCGGATACGAGTGTCGTGCGCGCGACCAGCGAGCGGGCCGAGTTTAATGGCAGCGTTTCCGTGCAAACAATCGGAACAGCAATCGCCGGCTGACGCTGGCCCCGACGTATTAAACTAAATTAAATTAATTATGTGCGTGACAGCGATAAAAGCACGCAGTCGCATGCGACGACGCATCGATTAGGCTCCCGGGGGCAAGCTTTCCGACCGTGCCACCTACGAAACGTTCGTAGCGCGCAGTTTGTTGGATAATAAGCTGCCAACATGCCGCCAACATTTCCGAACGCACCTGCTTTCTCCACCGTTTTTTCGATCGTTGTTTTCTCGATGATTTCATTTTCGTTTCAAGAGATTCGAAAAAAATCGAAACGCGCACAAATACAAATTTTGATATAACAATACGTTTATTTTGGTGCAAATTTTTTCGAAACGTTTTTAAGAACGCTTCAAACTGTCGTTTAAACTATCGAGTTATAATCGTGGACACGTGTAACAAGCGAGAAATAGTATATGTAAACAATGATCGAGAGTGGAATAAATAGTGGCATCCCCGTTTCAATCACCTTCGATGAAAATTAATTCTTAATTTAACAGCGAGTAGCGAAACGAAGAGGAAAGAGATCCGAAAGACAAATAGATGTCGAGGGAATATGACAAGGATAACGCGATGACGGGAGCTTAGAAGAGAGAGAGAGAGTCGCAATTAAAAATTTAAATTACGTTTAAAACTTGCCATGCACGCCACCACGGTCGCTCCACTTTTTTTCAATTTTCTCCAAAAGAATCTCGCCGACGATCTTTCTCCCTCCCTCCTTCTTTCTTCTCTCTTTCCATCGCCGAGCGGAAAGAGGAGGAAACGGGCGGCAGTGGCGGTATGGAAGAAGGATGGAATGCCAGCTCGCCCCTCCCCCCCTAAGGTACCACCTAATCGCTTAAGCTTATTACGCGAGCAGACAAGGCGAAGGAATGAGTCGAAGGGGGCGAAGGATGGAGAGGGAAGGGAGATGCGGTGGTTGCTCGCTGGCGCAACGAAGAGGCGGACGCACGTTCGGTTTCATCATTTTTAATTGATAGCGCACGCCAATCCTATCTGTCGGATTTATTAGGCCGCTCGACGAGATGGTTTCGGTTGGAGGAGTGGAAGGGGATGATGATAGCGAAGGGAAACGGAGCTTTTATTGGACAAACCGGGTTGTTTCGGTGGTAGGGGTCGGTGGTCACCGTAGCCCGATTGTGTGACCCGGGAAAACGCGTTTTCCAGATTTTCATGCATCCTCTGCCTCGAGTATATACGTACATACACGCGCGTCTGTGGACACGTACGCGTGCGAGTATATCTACGCGCACAGGCAGATTGATTGCGGGGATTAACACTGTTTTCTCGCGATAATTATCGTCCTCGGAGTGCGGAGATTTTATTGGATATACAGCTCCGCCTCGGCCGATATCGAAACGTCGAATTGCTTGTTAAGCTCGTTATTGTAATTCAGGTTTACGCATCGTTTTCAATGCAGCGTGTGTACGTTAATCGATTTGCGAAAGGAAAAGAATCGTCGAAGGCTCGTTCGTGGAACGTTACGTGGGGATTATAATTACTTATATTCTTCGATATCTACGTTTCCGGTTCTTCCTCGATCACGTCTCATTCTCGAAACTTGATTCTCGAAACTTGGTTAAAACTTGGCAATTCGAAAGAATGGAATGTGTTAACGTTCGAAATCGAATTGAATCCTCGGCTGTGAAAGAGCGAAGAGGACGGGATACGGAGAATTTCGCGAATAGCGCGCAGGAAACGAATGAATAACGAGATTCGGAAGGAAAACTCGCGCTCTCATCCTCGCCACGTGACAATTTATCCTCCTCCGCGTACTTAACCAGGGAATAACGAAATTTCACCCATCGTACCCATTATACCATTAGGCGCATCGTCGACGCGCGTCACGCGATCCTAAATTCGCCTGAAAAATGAAAAAGAGAAACCACGATATAACGCGACGATTCGCTGAGAAGTGAAATCGATACAGGGGCGAGCTTGGTTGGAACCACTCATCGAAATTAACTCTGTAGCGAAACACCTGCTGATCGTAGGAGTCTCACTACGATCATGGATAATTGAAGCGAACGTTGCGTATCGCGTGCTCGGATCGAATCTTCGATTCATCGATACGAATCGTGGAGGAAAAATTATCGCCGAGAGGCGAGGTTGGAGGGAAATAAAAAAGGATCTGTCCACGGAAATTCGTTATCTAAGAAAACGTTGCGCGCGGAAATCGCGACGAGGCGGAGCTGTGACATTTCGCCGCGGGGAACTCGAATCGATGGCCGGCGTATTTTCACGAAGCGAGCAAACAGAGAGAGAGAGAGAGAGAGAGAGAGAGAGAATGGAATCGACAATCGTCGTGGAAAAGGCACGGGCGGAAAAAAGCGGGCAGATTGATTTTTCGCGGTAGGCCAACTAATTTGAAGAGAGGGAGAGGGGGCGAAAAAAGAGAGAAAGAAATTCACCGCGGCCGGACGGTCGATCGTTGGACGCGCTCGGCCGTTCGACGATTGCCAATTGGAAAAATACTCCAATTCGATTACAATTTTTTTCGTCCGCTCGCACACACCGAACCGCGCAAGAATTTGAAACCGGTCGGTCTCGCCTACGACGAGAAATACATTCGTCGAGCGCGATAGATGGGCGTGGGTAGCAAGGAGGGGGGGAGGCGCAGGAGGGAGGGCTGGGCGGCGGAGGGAGGACGTGAAACTAATATCGAGGCTGCAATCGTTTCTGAAAGCTTTTGAGAGCGCAATTTAAAACCGATCTTCCCTGTTTTCGTTCCATTTACAAAGAAAATCGGAACCCACGCCACGCGTCTACGCTCGAAAAATATTTTCCACGATCATGCGGAAGTAATTCGCATCGGCTTCGTATCGGGCGAAACACCGAAATTGCTGGGATCCACGTACGCGAAATTGTTGACGCAAGAGAAGAGGAGAAGGGTGAAAACGGGTTAGTTCCAAGAAGCAAGAAAATCATCTTTACCAGGAAGCGAGAAGAACGTGTGTACGAAATAAAAGGGGCGGCTTCCACGGTGCTTGACGTTATTTACCGTCACGTAGGCATGGAGACCCGGGTTCAAAGACAAGAGACGCCTCGTTCTACAACTATTTTCTTCCATGCCACGCTAGTACGATGGTCTAATACCCCCTAAACGATTAATCCTCGTTTCGAACGATAACTCGTCGTGCAAACGAGTCAAGAAAGGGATCGTTTGATCTTTAACTCCGTGGAAACTGTTGATGTTTCATGGAACGAAGATGGACAGATTTCTCGATTCGAGAACAAATCACGAAGTAATCACAGAATGGAACGCAACAACGGACAATCGTCGTTTCGACGAAATATACATCATGAAGCATAGGACGAATACCAAGCAAGATCCTGCGCTGAATGAAGGGAAAGGCATCCTCGTTGTTGGCTGGTTGTTCCATCGTGGCGCTTGCCGGCCCGTTTAATTCGGTTTTATTAGGGGGCCAAATCGTGATCGTTAGCGCCGACACGAGGCCGGCACGAATCGCAGGTGACTGTCTGGGTTAGGCGCGCCTATATCTACGGGGTGTCAAATTAGTCACGCACGCCGCCTCCGCCTAGCGGGCCGGCGATCAACGCCCGTAACCATGGATACTGCCGCGAATTTCTCCGCGCGCGACCACTCCGCGCCGCTTTCCGACGCAATTGCGCACGCAATGCGGAAAAAGCGTGCAGAAAATTAACGAGCTCGTGCGCGATCGCCGCGCCATTTTTCGGAAATTAGAAACCTTTTTTTCCTCTCTCGCTTATTTTATCGTGACGATCATTTCGAACGTGTTCCAACGTTCCAATCAACGCGCGTTTTTTTCCTTTTCTTTTCATTCGTTTGTTTCTTTAATTCGCCCAATGCCGTGACTTTTAGTTTTCCTTTTTCTTTCTTTTTTCTTTTCTTTTTTTTTTTTTTTACGATTCGTTACGACGAATCGAGTAGAGAGTAGAGAGAGTGATATATCAAGTTGTCGCATGAAATGTTACCGTTAATTTAAAGCTAGGCGAAAACAACTTAAAACTCTTGCACAATATTGAGAATTTGATGGAATCTGG